CTTAAAATAATTTTTTTATTTATTTTTAATCTTTCACTATATAATATTTGAATTTATCAATAATATTTTTGAGTATTAATTATTTATTTGCTTTATTTTATCATTTAAATTAATTCAAAATATAAATTCTCTCACACTATCTTTATCCCCCTCTTTCTAAATTATATCCCCTAGTAAGTATGATATTTTATTTAATTTTTTCATTTAGTACTTTGTTCAATAATAGACAAAAAGAAAAGTACATATGATCAAACTATACAGTACTTCAACAAAATATTATGGTATTTTTATTATTAAACTTCTAGTAATTATTATTTTCGTTGAAGCTTTTAGCCTTTAAAAAAATTATTTTTATTGTATACTTGTTTAAAATTCAGAAAACTTAGTCTAAAATAGATACTATGAATTATCCATTATGAAATAAATAAATTATTAAATGTATCTACATTCTGAACTTTAGGTTAAAACATAAAATATATTCTTCAACTCATTAAAAAGTATTGAATTTTTAAAATAAATTAAAATTGCATATTAGATTACGGTAGGATATATTCTTCTCACTCGATATTAGAAATGGAATCCAAATACTATTGATATCAAAATTATTTACTTTCTAAATAAAAAATTTCAGTTGGAAAATATTAGTACAATGATTGAACTTTATTTAAAAAAAAAAAAGAATTCTTATTTCAATAAATGAAATTCCCTATATAATTCTTAACTGATATTTCCTTATTTGACAATCCCCCGCAAACTCTTTAAGATTGCTAAGTGGCTTCATAGTAGCTTGCCACTTGGCTTAACCATAATGCAATCTTTCTTGTTTTAATATATATGATATTTTATTTAATTTTTTCATTTAGGGTTTTATTCAATAATAGACAAAAAGAAAAGTGCATATGATCAAACTATATAGTACTTCAACAAAATATTATGGTATTTTTATTATTAAACTTCTAGTAATTATTATTTTCGTTGAAGCTTTTAACCTTTAAAAAAATTATTTTTATTGTATATTTGTTTAAAATTCAGAAAACTTAGTCTAAACTAGATACTTTAAATTATCCATTATGAAATAAATAAGTTATTAAATATATCTACATTATGAACTTTAGGTTAAAACCTTAAAATATATTCTTCAACTCATTAAAAAGTATTGAATTTTTAAAATAAATTAAAATTGCATATTAGATTACGGTAGGATATATTCTTCTCACTCGATATTAGAAAATGAATCCAAATACTATTGATATCAAAATTCTTTACTTTCCAAATAAAAAATTTCAGTTAGAAAAAATTAGTACAATGATTGAACTTTATTTAAAAAAAAAAAGAATTCTTATTTTAATAAAAAAAATTCCATATATAGTTCTTAAGTAATATTTCCTTATTTGACAATCTCCCACAAATTCTTTAAGATTGCCAAGTGGCTTTATAGTAACTTGCCACTTTGCTTAACCACAATGCAAACTTTCTTGTTTTAATATATATATAGATATAGATTTAGATTCTAATTATTTCTTTTCCTTTTTTTGGGTTCTTTTGTTTTTGTTTCTAGCATTGCATGTATAAATCGTGTCAATTGTTACAATATTTTAATTAAAAATTAAGATTTTCAAAATCAAATACATATCATAAAAACTACTATTTGTTTGAATTATAAAATACAATTAAAAGGGTACAAAACAAGTCAGCAATAGTAATAATCTTATTCAATTTGAATAAATTTCTAAACTTCCAAAGCGACCATATTATGCTAGTCCGAATTAGTTGTGATTAATTTATGAGGTACAAATGTATATGTTAACAGAAATTAAATCGTTTGTCTTTACGACGTTACCTTATTAACCTAAAAAATGCGGAACCCGCCGTCTCTTTCCTCCCCACGTCGCCGGCGGTCTTTTCTCAGTTCCTGACCAACGCCATGAGCAAGCATAGACTTGGACTACACCATTGGCTGTGCTTCTCCTATCTCTCTAGAACAACAAAGAGACCTTTTACTGCTTGCCATTTACCTACTGAAGCAATATCATGTGCTAATTCCCACATCCTCCCCAATTAATAATCACAAGACCTTGTGTTTTTCACTTGCAGAGCAGTTAATACTTCGCGGGTTATTCGGTTCAGCTCAGAAAGTGATTCAGAGAATCATCAAGCAATCCTCACCAGTCTCTGAAGCTATCTCAGCTGTTGAATTCTCCATTTCTCGCGGTATCGAGCCTGATGCAACTAGCTACAGTTTTCTCATTCGACAACTCGTGGCATCTGGTGAAACCCAAATGGCTGAAGATATTTATGTATATTGCATTTTGAAGAGAGGTATTGAACCGAAAGACCAGTCTTTATTGAATTCAGTGGCCATTTGTTATTGTAATTTGGGTAAATTATAGGAAGCAAAATTGCTTTTTGATAAACTATTGGATATGAAATTGAGGCCTTGTAGTAGCACGTGTAATGCGCTTATTAAGGGATTTTGTGGCCAACATAGCATCTTGGATGGGTTTGATGTTTTTGTAGTGGCTGTTGATGCTGGAGTATCACTAAGTTTCAGTTGTTACAATAGGTTAGTGGATGGCTTGTGCCATCGGGGGTTCTTAGATGAGGCACTCTATGTGTTTGATGTAATGTGTGAGAGAGGGGTGACACCCAATGTTCATTTGTTTAAGACATTGGTTCTTTCGTTGTGTAAGAGGGGTCGAGTCGAGGAAGCTGAGTTGTTGAGCATGGATATGGAGTCTTATGGTTTTGTTCTGGATAAAGTCATGCACACAACTCTCATTAACGGGTATTCGAAGAACAAGAAAATGAAAATGGCTATGAGGGTGTTTCTTAGAATGCTTAAGTTGGGATGTGAACCGGATAAGTATACTTACAACACGCTGATGCACGGGTTTTTTAGCTTGGGCATGTTGGACAAGGGTTGGGTGCTACATCAGCAGATGGCTGAATTTGGATTAGAACCTGATGCAGTAAGTTACCAAATCATGATTGGCAAGTATTGCAAGGATCATAAAGTTGACTGTGCGTTGATGCTGTTAAATAACATGATTCAGTGCAACGTTGCTCCCAGTGTGCACTCTTATACTGCTTTAATTGCTGCGCTTTATAAAGAGAATCGGTTAGCAGAAGTAGATATCTTGTACAATAAGATGTTGGATAATGGATTGGTTCCTGACCATGTTTTGTTTTTTACCTTGGTCAACAATCATCCAAGAGGGTCAGAGATTACTCTAGCATGCACCTTTTTGCGGGCAATTGCCAAAAATGGTTGTGGTATTGACCTTTCTAACATCCCTAGCACTACCAGTCAAAAAGTTACTACAAATATCATGTCTGATATTGATCATCTCTTGGGAGAAATTGTGGCAAGAAACTTACCTCTGGCCAATGTTGCTTTCAATATATACATGGTTGCTTTGTGTTTAGGAGGAAAACTTGATTCTGCTCTTCTTTGCATGGACAAGATGGCAAGCCTTTCTCTTCAGCCTTCATTGTCAGCTTATAACTCTATGATCAAGTGCCTTTACCAAAACGGACTACTTGAGGATGCCAAATCCTTTGTTGAAGTTATGCAAGATCAAGGTCAAGTTCCAAATCAAGCAACATTCTTGATTATGGTGAATGTATACTGCAAACAGGGTGACACACAATCAGCATTTGAAGTTCTGGACCAAATGGAAGAGAGTGGATTGAAGCCTAGTGTTGCGATATATGACTCCATCATTGGGTGTTTGGGCAGACAAAAGAGAATAGATGAGGCCCTTGAAGTTTTCCGGAGAATGCTCGAGGATAGAATTTATCCTGATGAAACTATGTTTGTGACAATGATTAATGCTCTATCAATAAATGGACGAGCTATTCAAGCCCATGAGCTCTTCGACAAAATGTTGGAAGATGGAGTTCAACCAAGCCACTATGCTTATACTGCTCTTATACATGGGTTAGTTAAGAAGAACATGATTGAGAAGGGCTGTGTATACCTTGATCGAATGATAGAAAATGGTTTCATGCCAAATACTGTTCTTTATACTTCTCTAATAAAACAATTTTTAAGGAAAAGAGAGTTTGAATTTGCATTTAAGTTGGTTGATTTGATGGAAAGAAGTGAGATTGAGCGAGACCTGGTAACCTATATTACTTTGGTCAGTGGCGTCTCTAGAAATATTAGGTCACTTCACGGGAAGTGGCTTGTTCCGCAGAAACAGTATGAAAAATCCAAGGAAATGTTGTTTCGTCTACTTCATCAGAGTGCTATGTTTTCTAGGGAAAAATGTTTGAAAATCTCAATTAGCTCTCAGGAACAAATTAAATTTCTTGCACTTAGGCTGATAAACAAAGTGAAGAACACTCCCCTAATGCCAAATTTGTACTTGTATAATGGCATAATTTCAGGGTTTTGCTGGGCAGAGAAGATGCAGGATGCATATAAGCACCTGGATATGATGCAAAGTGAGGGCATCCAACCGAATCAAGTTACTTTTACTATTCTAATTGATGGGCATTTCCGAAGTGGCGAAATTGATCTTGCTGTTAGTCTCTTCAACAGAATGAATGCACAGGGTTGTTCTCCTGATAAAATTGTGTATAACACTTTAATAAGAGGTCTATGCAAGCATGGAAAGCTCATTGATGCTCTTTCGATCTCATACACAATGCTCAAAAAAGGATTTGCCCCTTCTAAGGCATCATATGAGAATCTTCTCACTTCTCTTTGTGCTAATAATTGGAGTGTTCATGCACTGAAGATATGTGAAGATATGCTAGCCCATAAATATGTCCCTTGTGGCCATAATCTTAAATTGTTAATTTGTATGCTAGATGAAGAAAATAAGTCGCATGAAGCTCGTCTTATGAATGATTTGCTCCTTAACAAAAGAAGATTTATGGTGTACACAAGCTAGAGGTTGGTTATGCAATCTCTCTGATATTGCTGGGCTTCATCCCCTTACTGATGCATGTGCATGAGCAGGATATGGACTTTTCTGTGGAGCTATACCTTGTAGCTTGAGTACCCTCAGAACTCCCTTTGGTAAACTGTTTTAAGCCACTGGCTACGTGTATGTCTTAACTCTTATTTTTGTTTGATGTTTCTAAGTAGTCTGGTATTCTCTGGATTCTGACGTTGAGTTGTTGATGACTTGGTGGTTCTCAGGTGTGCATAATCCTATTTGAAATGCATTCGTAGCAGAACTCGGGAGCTAATCTACCTGATTATGCTCCATAGACAGCCACTCTACTAAGAGGATTCTATACCATGCCTTGTTTAAATTCTTGGTACCTTCTTGTTCCAGCTCAAAAGGAACTGTGCGGTTGTTCTTGGCATGGCCCATTTCATTCCTCCTATTTAATTGGTTATTGAACACGTGTAAGTTTCTGTACTCGATGTTTCGCTCTTCGTTCAATAGAAGAACACGTGTTAAGAAGTTGCCATTCGTATCACTAAATAGCTCCCTCCCGTTCGTCCATCAAACAAATGCAGAGATTGGGACTGGAATGTTCCATTCCCATTTTCTTCCTTGTGATCGTAAATTTAGCTGTTTCTCTTTCCTTTTTCTTCTATTTCTCAATTTGGATCTATTTGCTTTTTCTGTTTCTTAATTTTTCTTCTCGGAATTTGTCGCGACTTCCTAAATTTGATGCTTGCATTTGGAGGTAATTAGTTCTCTTCTTTCCTTTTTCATCTTCCTATTTTTCTGCTTCTCTGAAGTCTGATGTGCTTGGGTTCCTTCTATATTAGTTATGTTGCCTTTTCGCACTACTGGTAAGTGTTTCATGGGTTTTTTCTTCTTTTAATTTATTATTACTTAGATTTTAGTTTTACGTTCTCTAATTTTCTTCCTTTCATGGTTCTCTTCTTTTACTTTTGCCTCTTCAGCCATGGCCCTGTTGTTGCTTTGCTTCCATTAGCTCTTATTTGGTGTGCTTAATAGTTGGATGTAACAGCGCTTGGGTAGCATACTATACAGATGGAGATAAGATGGAGCTTAAACGCTGGAAGCGCCAAATGATGCTCTGTTGTTTAATGGAAATCATTGCATGCATATGAATAAAACTGGATGCTTCGAGAATGGTGAGGGGTCATTTTACAGATGCTCAGAATGTTTTTGATTTATTTACATGATGTCTCATATCTATTTTAGTGATAGTTTGATTGATAGTATTGGTTGGAATGTTGTAAATGGGTACACTGACGATCATAGTAAAAGGGGTCACAACTGATGTTAAATTAATTTTGGAGAAAGAAATATCGAAGAATTATACTGATCAGTCCACAAAGTGTTTGATAAAATGTCCCTTAAGAAAATTGTATTATCTGTTGCATTTTTGTTCTTCTGAACATTCTTATAGTCTTATTGAAATTCTGTGATGTTGTTTATATTCTACAGTTGATTTACATGGCAACCCCAAAAGGTTCTTTAAAAAGAAGGTTATCTATGTATAGAGCATTTAGTGGATTACAAAGTAGATACAACAGTTTCAAAAGTTCATCTTTGAGTAATAATAATGACAAAGATGATGAAGTTATATTAGTGAATTCAGTACAACAAGAAGGATCTGAAGGTCATTATCAAACTATGTTTCTTATGTCATCTGAAAATGGTGGAGAATATGAAATGGTTTTCTTTAGAAGATTGGATGAGGAATTTAATAAAGTGTTAACTTTTTACAAGAAAAAAGTAGGGGAAGTTAAGGATGAAGCTGATGAGTTGAGTAAACAAATGGATGCACTTATTGCTCTAAGAATTATGGTTGATAAACCTTCAATTGAAATGGAAAGTTCCCAAGTCAATGATCCTATTCATTTTAGAAGTCCAAGTAAGTCCAATCTTAGCTGCTGCTGGTACTTGCTTTGTTTCTACATCCCATGATTTGCCATTTTATTTGTTTGAATTCTTGATTTTACACTACCGGAAACAGTCTCTCCGCCTTTTTAAAGGTAGGGATAAGGTCCGCCTACACACTACCCTCCCCAGACCCCACTTGTGGCACTACACTAAGTTTGTTGTTGTGTTGTTGTAATTCTTGATTTTACACTACCGGAAACAGCCTCTAAGCCTTTATAAAGGTAGGTATAAGGTCTGCGTACACACTACCCTCCCTAGACCCCACTTGTGGAAATGCGCTGTATTTGTTGTTGTTGTTGTAATTCTTGATTTTACACAAATATAGGTAGGTTACATATGGAGGCAATTCAAGAAGTAGAGCTGACAAGTGAAGAAAGTCTGGAAAAGGAAGCAACATCAGAGAGAAGAGATACAGCAAAGATGAATGAATTTAGGCCTGCTCCACTAGAGATCTTGGATCATGTAAGAATCAATGTTGAACCCGAAACACCTGTTTCGACTTTAAGAAAAGTTATCAGGACTTCAAATTCGAACTTATCGTTCAGCAGAGAAGAGCTCAGAAAAGCTGAAGAACAAATAAGAAAGGCTTTTGTTGAGTTTTATCAAAAGCTTCGACTTCTAAAAAGCTACTGGTAATGGCGCATTTTTTCGCCCGCATAAATGAGGAATTTAGTATTGTTTGTCTTCAACTCAACTCATATTTAACTACTTAATGTGCCAGTTTCTTAAATATGTTGGCATTTTCCAAGATCATGAAGAAGTATGATAAGGTACTACATTGAAGATTTGGCAATAGAAAGTACTCGTATAAAGTTGGGCCTTTTTAACCTTGCAATTTATTGATACAGGTAACCTCAAGGAAAGCTTCTAAATCATACTTAGAGATGGTTGATAAATCTTATCTTGGTAGCTCGGATGAGGTATATTTCTTTCAGTTTCAGAAACTGTTTTCCTTTCAGTTGAAACTGTAGTTTGAACTTCTCATTGATCTTTGCTATCATAGGTTTCTAAGCTCATAGAAAGAGTCGAGGCCACGTTCATAAAGCATTTTGTCAATGGAAATCGAAGGAAAGGAATGAAAACTTTAAGACCGCAAGCTAAAAGAGAAACACATAGAGTAACATTTTTCATGGGTAAGCATGCATCCTTATTAGCATTAACTGAATCCATTGCATTCAGTTCGAACTATGTAATACATATGCAAATCAACAATGTTCAGTTTTAGTAACTGATATACTTTTCACCTATAGGTTTGTTCTCTGGCTGCTCAATAGCATTAGTGGCAGCTATTGTTGTATCGATACGTGCAGGAAACCTTCTAGAGCACAAGGGTCGTGGGCAGTATATGGATAACATATTTCCACTCTACAGGTGAACTAACCATCTGTCTTTTACAAAATCATATTGATTCTTTCCGTGTCTTTCTACATTAAGAGAAACCATGTTTTAAGCAATACATATGAGTAATAAAGTTGTATCGTTTCAGCCTATTCGGATTCATTGTCCTCCATATGCTCATGTACGCGGGGAACATATACTACTGGAGGCGTTTTTGGGTCAATTATCACTTCATATTTGGCTTTAAGCAAGGAACAGAACTAGGTTACAGACAAGTTCTTCTCCTTGCTCCTGGTCTTGCAGTACTTGCATTAGCTGCAGCATTGGCCAACCTGGATATGGAGATGGATCCAAAAACAAGAAGTTTTGGGACAGTAACTGAGCTAATACCACTTGCCCTGGTGGTTGTAAGTCTAGAAAAAACATTACTTCTTCTTCTACTTTCATTCTATAACTGATCTATACAATATGTTTTCAAAAAATTTCATACCCCCTAATGATCTTAATTTTTTTCCTTCAGGTTCTGCTTCTAATAACTTTTTGTCCTCTGAACATCATATATCGTTCAAGTCGTTTCTTCCTTATAAGATGTGCCTGGCACTGTCTATGTGCTCCCCTTTATAAGGTAACAGCAGCTTATTTAATCGATATACAGATTCACGCGCATTAGTAATATCACAGGAAGTACATAGATACTGAAATGTCTTACATCAATTTGTAGGTTGCTCTACCAGATTTCTTCTTGGCAGATCAAATTACCAGCCAGGTTTGACACCAGGCTTTTTCCTTTTAAATTGACAGTTCAGTCAGTGTACTGTGCAAATTCTGCAATACTTATCGGGAAGAACATAATGTGCTCTTGCATTTCAGGTTCAGGCAATTAGAAGTTTGCAATTCTATGTTTGCTACTATGTGTGGGGCAACTTCAGAACAAGATCAAATAAATGTCAAGAAAGCAGTGTTTATCAAATCTTATACATAGTCGTTGCAATTATTCCCTTTTGGTCTAGGTTTATTCAGGTGTGAGGATTTTTGCACACAAAAAGATGATCATTCTGACAATATTTATATGTTAACAATTATTTAATATGGTGCATTGTGTGATTTCATGATATATACAGTGCCTTCGCTGCTTATTTGAAGAGAAAGATTCGATGCAGGGGCTTAATAGCCTCAAATATTTCTCAACCATTGTTGCTCTTGTAATGAGGACACTTTACGATCAGAAGAGAGGAACTTTTTGGAAAGTAATGGCTGCATCAACATAAGGAATTACTACAGTTGCAAACACTTACTGGGATATTGTCATAGATTGGGGTCTACTGCAAAGGAACTCAAAAAACCGTTGGTTCAGAGACAAACTACTTGTGCCACACAAGATTGTCTACTTTGTTGCCATTGTAAGTGCAGATACAGGTTTGAAAAATAAATTACAAAACGCTTGCAGTGAAAGTTTTTGATTACTTATAGTGTAAATGCAGGTTCTTGACATTATTCTGAGACTAGTATGGATGCAGTTGGTTCTTGATATTCAAGAACTACCATTTCTGCATAAGAAAGCATTTGTTGCAGTTGTAGCCAGTTTGGAAATCCTTCGCCGTGGCATGTGGAACTTTTTCAGGTCAGATGCATTATTTATTGAGTTTAACTTCTATGCACCAACAATATGATGGATTACATTTTCAGGTCACTTAAAAGATAACTGTTCACGCCCAAATCTAGTCCTAAAAAGGATAAGCGGTCGCTGCAAATATAATCCGGTCTAAAAGTCCGGAGTCAAATCCCACAGAGAACTAAGGCTTAGCTATATCTGTTTAATATCACTAAAAAGACAAGTTTGAACAATTTTCTAAATTATAAAGATTGAGATTTATATTTCTAACTAATGAACTAGCAAATACTAGAAAAACGGTAAAATTATCAACTAACAAGACAAAGGGTTGGAGACTAAATTAAGAAGGTCTAGAGTTATGATTTCCCCAATTGTCGGAATCCTTCTAGCTATGTTCCCTACAATTTTGCCAATGCTGATCGTGAGCACTTAGATGCCGTAATTCTCTCTCGAGCAACTGCAACAATTTACTAGACATGTTCTTTCGAACTACACTAGTTGGCTTTATCTAACCGCTCATTATGACCACGTCAAGGCTTTGTTATTTCTAAACCTACCTTTAAACCCGCTGTATTAATTTCCCACATACGTTAGGAGTGATGTTGTTCAACAACCACCTAAATATGTATCATTTCTCAAGCAACACATAATAAATAGGCACAGTCAATCGATGACCATTCAATCAACAACAATAAACATGTAGTTGAACAAGTAGAGAAATCCAACGGCTCAATTATATAAAAACATAACAAGAATTTATCATACAAAAGGTTCTATCAAAACCCTAGATAACAAATTAGCTATTCATAATAATATGTAAAAATACAATACTAAAAGTCATAACCAATAATGAAAAAATAGGAAGAGGAAGGAAAAACTCGTAGAAGAATTCTCCGCCTTGCTCCTATTGTGTCTGTGCCTCCTTGGGTCGAATCTGTGTCAAAAATTGGTCTCCCCCCCTCAAAATACCGTTTTTCCATGTATATATACCAAGTAGGGTTGGGCCCAAACTATTATACATTCTTCTACGCGAAAAAGGACAAGTTTCAAGGCCTGGACGTCTGCGGCCGCGGCCCGGGCGCGGTACTTTCCTAGTGTACTGCCTCAGCCCGCCTCAGGTCCGCGGTCGCGGTTTCGACCGCGTTTTTCACCCTGTTCCCTTTTGGAATTTGGAAAAACGTAAAACATGAAAGTTGTAGCCCTTTGAGTTAGCTTTCAACCATATATTGTGGAGCCCAAATGGAGTTCTGAGCAAAAAGTTATGTGTATTTTACTACACAATGCGCAATATGCCTACTCGATTCTTCGTTTTGTTGCTCTATTATCCTTTGATCCCCGAATACGATCCCGGCTTAATTCCTTTGGCTTTTACTCAGACATCAAAGCTCCAAATCACTTGAATTTATTCCATAACATCTACATAGCTCGGAATCACTCCTACAAGACATAAAACACACAATTAGTGCAAGACACTAGCGATTAAAGCTCAAACTCAATTAAAGTGCAGTAAATTTGAGTGTAATAAGCGACTAAAATACGTAATTATAGCCTATCATCAATAACTACCGTCTTAAAAAAGTGGGATTAGTAACCTGAAAAATAAGACATGTTACCTGTTACAACATATTTGTATCTGACAGTAGTTGTGCTGTTTTCGTTGTTCAGGTTGGAAAATGAGCACTTGAATAACGTTGGAAAATACCGTGCCTTCAAGTCCGTACCCCTGCTGTTTAACTACGATGAAGACAAGAGTATATAACTACGTTTAATTAGCTGATACAAGGAAGTTGGAATCCAGAGTACTCAAGACTCAAAATGTTTTCTTTTCTCTTGTACAATTCTTTGAATCATTCGTTAATGGTGTTTATAATATAGTTTTGTTCATGAATATTGAAAGTGAATGTATAGGACAAAAAGAAAGTTGATTCAAGACTCTTGATTAAGGATTCCATACGTATTAAAAATAAAAATTGACAACAGTACACATCTACTGCAACACTAACAAAAGGCAGCCCGGTGCACTAAGCTTCTGCTATGCGCGGGGTCTGGGGAAGGGCCGGACTACAAGGATCTATTGTACGCAGTCTTACCCTGCATTTCTGTAAGTGGCTATTTTCACGGCTCGAACCTGTGACCTCCTGGTCACATCTACTGCAACACTCCAGACGAAAAATCTGTAATCAGGAGGCTGAAATGTTCTTTTTGTTTTTGCTTCAGATTTCTACGTTCTAAAAATTGTTGTGTTTGAACTTAATGCACCAAAAACTGTTTAGATCCAAAAGATACATTCTTTTAGTCTTAAAGTTCTTGCTCATGATAAGTCTCAATTGAATCGTGCTTGATAATTGGTTGACTCTCTCTACCAAGACGTAATACTACCAATGCAGCTTTTCAGGAAAATTCTTAGCATTTTCTTAGGTCCATAATTTGATGCATGAAATTAGCATAACCACGCGAAAACAA